TATTTATTAGTAAATAGATATTAATATAAATATAACTTCACTATAAATATCAATATAAATAATTATAAATGTTTATTGATATAAATATAAATATAAAAAGTATTTAATTTATTAACTTATAACAAATAAAATATAAGTAGTCCTTCATCTTTGTTCAATTAATTAAAAAAATAAAATAAGATACATCTAATCACTATCACTCTCGGTTAAGTAATTTGGAACTTCTTCTTCCGATGTTTCCGTTCCATCAAACTCTTACTCTTCATCATCATCCTCACCCACACATTCATCCTTTGCCACATATAGCAATTGCATGACCTCACTAATCACCACTTGTTCTCCTCCTTGAGATGCTAGCGAAACATGATCATTTAAAACAGTCGAGGGTTGCACCAATTGTGGTAGAGGGGGATCATCATCTTGATAATAATCATTCCCACCATCACTCAACCATGAAGTGTCAATTATTGCTCTTGCCCTAATCTTAATGCAACAAACCACCCTTTTCTATAAGGATTTTGAGATGGATAATTGGCGTAAAACACTTGTTGAGCTTGACTGGCCAATATGAATGGTTCATTGGTTTGTAATTTAAACTGAGGATTTATGTCAACTATACCAGATGTCGAATGGACCATGATGCCTTTGTCGATATCATACCACTCACACTTAAACAAAATCACTAATTGATGAACATATGAGTCAAAATACTGATGCTCAATTATTTCCTTCAAACTCCCACAATAATCTGACTCATCATTGAAAGTGGTTCCCTTCACACAAATACCGCTATTCATGGTCTTTTTATTTTGTCCTTATGCGACAATATGGAATCGGAATCCATTAACCAAATAACCATTATATACCCTAACATTACTGATTGGTCTAGTTACTAAAGGCAAAAGGCGAGGATCAATCTCATATCTTCCACTACGCACCTACATTTGTTATAAAAATACTTAATATTTAACCCTAAATAATATAAAAAATGAGATTTTAATTATAAAAATTATCTAAATAAATTACTTACCATCATCTTAAACCAAGGAATAAATTCAAGCTACCATTTAATTTGAATTTGATCTGGTGATAGATCAGAACACACTTGATAATCAAAAACCCTATATGAAGAAGTTAGAGTAAATAATCTATACATACTAATAACTTAAAAAAAAAAAAAAATGAAAGTTAGAAGTAAAACGTACGCAATCCATGGATTAACTTCTTCATAATTAAGTAAAACATAAAGTTCTACTGCCTCTAATTCTTTGGGTGATAGTGCACGCCTACATATTTCTCCACCTAATGGTTGACCTCGATGTTTAAAAACAAATAAACAATTATCCATATCATCATTCCCGCTAACACTGTTTCTTGGTTGATGATTCAATCTTGTCTTTATGTCAGATCCAAAATAATCCTAGCAAAAAAAAGTACTTTCTGAAATAATATTAGACTCGCAAATCGAAGCTTCAACACGATTTTTGTTCAACACTTTTTTCTTAAGGTCATGCATTTTTTTGTTAAACAAATAAAAAAATTAATTAATAAGATTAAATTATTAAATATACTCATGAATGTTATTGTGATGCAAACGTATTAGAAGAAACATACCTTTCAAAAGGATACATCCAATGGAATTGGACATGTCCTCCAACTTTTGCCTCATATGGTAGATGGATTGCCAAATGCTCCATCAAGTCAAAGAATGCTGGTGGGAATACTTTCTCTAGCTTGCAAATGGTCTCAATAATTTTTTCCTCCCACATTTCCATGTTACTGACTTGAATAATCAGAGCAGTTAAAGCTCTAAAAAAGTTACTAATCTCAGTTAAGGGACCCCAAACTTCATTTATGAGGAAATCACGAAAAGCGATTGGCAAGAGACGCTACATGAATACATGACAATCATGGCTTTTAATCCCAAACAATCAAAGTTCTTGCATGTTAACACATCACGCTATGTTGGATGCATACCCATCTGGGAATATCAATTCCTTTAGCCACTGACAGACAAGAGCTCATTGCTCTCGAGTAAGAACATATGCAACATTGGGTTTTATAGTTATTCCATCATCTTGAGGTATCAATTCTAATTCAGATCTATTGCAATACAATTGTAGATCCAATCTAGCATTTGTGTTATCCTTCGTGCAACCCTTGTCATCCATGATAGTATTTTTAATGTTGTCTAAAAAAGTCTTCTCACAATGCATGATATCAAGGTTATGACGAATCAATAAATCCTTCCAGTATGGCAATTCCCAAAATATGCTACGTTTCACCTAATTATGAAAAACACCAAATCCTGCAATTGAATTTTATGAAGTGGCTGGCCAAAAACTATGTTAGGGAGTTGATTAACCCTTTCTTCCATCAAAGTACCATCTAGTCTTGGGGGGGAGGGGGGATGGCTTTTTCCAACTCTATTGAGATAAAAAAAATTTCTTATCTCTACGAAATGGATGTTTAGGAGCTAGAAATTATCAATGACAATCAAAAAATGGTGTTTTCCTCCCATCTTGAAGTTGAAAAGCCTTAGTGTTCTCCATGCAATAAGGGCATGACATCTTCCCATGTGTGCTCCATCCAGATAACATGCCATAACTTGGAAAATCACTTATAGTCCATAGCAATGTAGCTTTCATGATAAAATTCTATTGCCTGAAACTATCATAAGTTTCAATCCCATTTGTCCACAATTTCTTAAGTTCATCAATTAATGGCCTAAGCATGACATCAATGTTTTTTCCTGGACTTTTAGGTTTAGCAATTATCATGGTAAGAAATATATGCTCTGGCTTCATACACAATTCAGGAGGAAGGTTGTACACTATAAGAAAGACAGGCCAACAAGAGTAAGGTGTTGTAGAGCTACCAAATGGATTGAAACCATCTGTGTAGAAGCCAAGTCTAATATTTCTAGGTTCATCAGCAAATGTTGGGTGCGTTTCATCAAAGTGTTTCCCTGCCTAACTACCCGCAGGATGAATAACTTCATCCGCATTCTCACGGCATTTCAAATGCCATGTCATGTACTCTGTCATTTTCCTAGACATGTATAGTCGTTGCAATCTTGGGGTAATTGGAAGGTACCACAAAGATTTCCTTGGAACATCTTTCTACCTGATAGTAGCCATATTCCTCGACTCATAACAAGGTTCTCCACACACTGGACAAGCAGTTAAATTCTTACTTTGCTCATCATAGTACAAGAAGCAATCATTGACACAAACATCAATTTTCTTATACTCAAGTCCGAGCACATTTATCATTTTTTTTGGCACTGTAGAAATCCTTTGGCACCTTTTCTTGGTTCTTTGGACTCAACAACTTTTGACTCAATGACAATGACATCTCCCAATTAGCAGCACTCATATTATAAAGAGTTTTCATGTTTAGCATTTCTACCATCCATGAAAGTATTATAACATCTTGTCCTCCGGCACCTATATGAACTTTTGCAACATGCAAGAGATCATAAAATTCTCTTGCCCTACTATTGGGCTCCTCAGCCATTAGCCCCTCATTGTCTTCAGACTGTGCACCCATTGCATCAACTGCCATTTCACGGTACATTACATCTACTTCATTTCTAACAAACTCCATATTAGAAGATTCCCCTTCAAAGTTTCTTACTATATTGTTGGATGTCTCTCCATGAACATACCATGTATAATAGTTATTCATAAACTCATGCTTACACAAATGCACGAAGACAACCTCAGGGCTCCCCCCATTTTCTACATTTACATGTCGAACAAGAACACTTAATCTCTGATTTTGCTTTCAGTCTAAAAAATGCAAATCACAAAAAATTGCACCCCCTCTCTAAATTCTTACTGTATTGTTGGATGTCTCTCCGTGAACATATCATGTATCATAGTTATTCATAAACCCTTGCTTACACAAATGCACAGAGACAACCTCAGGGTTCCCTCATTTTCTACATTTACATTTCGAACAAGGACACTTAATCTCTGATTTTGCTTTTGGTCTAGAAAATGCAAATCTCACAAAAAAATTGCACCCTCTCTCTAAATTCTTACTGTATTGTTAGATGTCTCTCCATGAACATATCATGTATCATAGTTATTCATAAACCCTTGCTTACACAAATGCATAGAGACAACCTTAGGGTTCCCTCATTTTCTACATTTACATTTCAAACAAGGACACTTAATCTCTGATTTTGCTTTTGGTCTAGAAAATGCAAATCTCACAAAAAATTGCACCCCCTCTCTAAATTCCTTGGTAACAAAACCACCATCATCTATACGACGATCTATCCAACTACGATTGTGCATCATTTAATTACCTAATTTGAATTTCAATTTGACAAGTATATTAATATATATTAAGCATTGAAGTGCTTTTTTATTCAAAGAATGAAAATTATATTCAATCTATCGAAAAGCACATTTAATCCATGTACATAATAACAAAATTGAAGCTTTTAACCAAAAAAACAAAAGCTTCCAAATAATATATTAAAACATATTCAATGTGCATCTCATAGCAATTAAAACTAAATTATCTTCAATTAAAATGTGCTTTCTTATTTTTCTCTTCATTTCATCATTAAGCTTTCCTCCAATTTTAAAAAACTTCAAACACAAGCAACTTATTTCATACTTAAAAAAAGTTATAATTAGACTAAAACAATGTTTCACGGTCAAAGGTCTAACTGGATCTCGCTATGGGGTAAAGTGCATTATGTTCTGCTGATTAATGTATTTTACTTTTATTTTTTTTAAAATGTATCACGTTATGCGCTGTTGTGTATATTGACTTTTTATAGTAATTATTAATTTTAATAATATTAATTAAATATGGAAAAAAATTTAATTTTTGTTCATTGATATAACAATCTCAATTTTTATTAATTTTCACATAATTAAGAAATTAATATTTAATTAATTTATTAGTTGTTAGTGTAATAAAATTAATATTTGACTATATGTTGTTATTAAATAAGGCATGATTAAAACACATATAAGTCTTATAAATCTTAAAATCTGCACATCTTTATATTGCATAAAATTTTTTTTCTCACATTACTTCATTAATTTTTTTTTCCTTTCATTTCACCTTTACTCCCTATATTATGTAATTAAATCTTCTCATATTTCACTATGTCTTTCCATCCCTATTTTTCAATCCCACTATCCTTCCTATACATTATTTCTTTTGTACTTTCTTTCCCTACTATATTATGTTAGTATATCTCATTATATTTCTTTGATTATTTAGCTTCTTACATTAACTCGTTAAACAACGAATGTTCTAATTTTATTTTAATTATATCTTCGTGTTTGTTCAGACGCAACATATATCATTTACTACCATTTCTTTCCTCCTATATCAACTAATAACCATACATATCAATAACCACACATGTTAATCTTAATCTTAATAATTTTAAATTAAATTTATTTGTATATAGAAATTCAATATATACAAATACTACTATAGTTCAACAATCATACATATATTATTCTCAATATAAATAATTTCGAATAAGTAACTTTATAAATATATATATTAAATATAAATAGTACTATAGTTTAATTACCATACCAATCTCAATCTCAATCATTTGAAATAAACAATTTCATATATAAAAATTCAATCTAAATATCATTTTAGTTCAATAATAATGCACATTTGAATTTCAATATCAATCTCTCAAATTGAGCTAATTTGAAATAAATAACAAATTTACGACCATAAAAATTCAATATAAATATCACTCTACTTCAATAATTATAAATATTTAGACCTCGATCTCAATATCAATATCAATCTCACAACCTTAATCTCAAACTCAATAATCCAAAATTCCTAACTTTGTATATACAAATTTACTAAAACAACTCTTTAACTAAGTACATATCTCAATCTCAAAAACTTGAAAGAAATAATTGAAATCCACTGACAATTCATGCAATAGTAGCAATAATCTACACTAATCTACAAATGAAACAATATAATTTTGTATAAAAAAATCACAAAAATCCTAATTACCTCTGCAGTGGGGACGATGATGCTGTGAAGGCAGTAAAAGCTGGATTTCGACCTACAAAAAACAAAAATTGGGGTCTTGTAAACACAAGGAAAAACAAAGGAAAACCAACAACAACAAAAACTAAAAAAAAAAAAATGGAAACTAACAGTCGACAGTGCAGGCAACGTCCTCCAGGGGGCATGGTGGCTTAGAGGCAATGGAGGTTGGACCAAAAGGCACAGATCTACAAGAAACAATGCAAATGCTGACTGTAAATCCAAGGAAAATAAAAATAAAAATAAAAATAAAAATAAAACCAATAATCAACCAGGAGAAGGGCCAAATCACCGTCACTGGCGCGGGGATTCCGACAACAGGGGCTGTGACGGCAAGAACAACAATTGCAAGAACAAGGACAACAAACCTCACCGGAGAAGACACCAGATCTACCGCCGCAAAGGAAGAAGAAGAAATGGGGAAGAAAGGTGAATCGAGGGGTTATGAAAGACATCGTTTCCTCACATACTCGACAGCTAAATATTGTCGATTAAACATATTCGATAGCTAGATTTCTATCGAATATATCACATATTCGACAGAAAAGTTGTCGAATATGAATATTGTCGAATAAGAACCCAAATATTCAGTATAACCAACAATGCTACATGTTCGACAACCTTGCTGTCGGTTATATGATTATATTCAACAGAAACAAGTCTGTCAAAGATAAGCTTGTCGCTTATGCTCTGTTGTCCAGTAGTGTTATGCTTAACTCATTTACCAAATGAGTCAAACTTGAATCAACTTTAATTTGAATAATTCACAAATTATTCAAGAACTACCCAGGTTGCTATTAGCTCTAATTTAAGATCCACGTAAACTGAAAAGAATTAATCATTAAATAACATGTGAGGTTATAAAAAAAGTTAAACATAATATTTGTCTCTAAATTATTTTCCTAATCTAAACTACATAAACAAAGAAATAGCGAAAATAGGATTCAATTTTTTTAACCTTTTCCTTTTTACTTTAATCATAGTTTCCTTCCTAGGAAATACTAGTATGAAGTTAAGATGAAAAGATGAGCAAGAGAAAGGCCGATGGACAATCAAAGAACTAGGGTTAATGAATGGCACAAAGCTAGAAGTTTGTTGGCAACTGGGGATCAACTAAACAATAACATGGTTCTGAGCTAAGATGGAAGAGTCTAAAAACTTTTATTCTATGGGGTTATGATAAAAGTACATACAATAAGTTGTTGCATACTTCTCCACTAATTTTCCTAAGGATGGAAGTCATGCTTAGATGTGGGAAACCTTTAAGAAATTTGGTAAGGTCTTAGCTATTTACAATCCATTGTGAAGGGATAGAACAAGAAAGCAGTTTGGTTTTGTGCGGTTTTTGAATGTTAAAGATGAAAGAGAATTGGAACAACAACTAAATCAAATTAGGATTGGGAGTTGTAAGCTTTAGGCGAACAAGGTGAGATTCAATATGAAAGACTCAAAGAAAAAGCGACTGTTAGGTGATGAGACAAGGGTGATTAATCTAGAAAGGTGTCTTATGCTGACGTGTTGAAAAGAATTGGAGGAACCAATTCAAAACCTAACGTGGGATGCCTATCTAGATTAGCTGTAAGACAGGTGCATGTTTGGCAGGCAAAGGGGAAAGAATAGGGAACAAGGCTGGAGTTCAACGTTAAAAATGAGGACTACGCTTGGCTTGAAGGTTGCTATGTCAGAATGCCATACTCAGTAGAGGCAATACCGAACCTATAAGAAAAATTTTACATTGAAAGGTACTTCTCTTGTTTAGTTAGACTTATGAGGGGTAAGCTAGTGTTCTTGGATTTTAAGGATAAGGATGAGTTGAAAGATTTAGTGGAACTGGGTAAGGATTGGTTAAGCTAATGGTTTAAGGAAGTTAGATCATGGACACCAGACATGATCGTGAATGAAAGGTTTATTTGGTTGAGATGTCACAGAGTTCCTCCTCAAGCATGGGGAGAAGAGTTCTTTATAACCATTGCGTGCATCTAGGGGAAATTTATATGCTTAAATGATAGCACTAGTAGAAGGAAAAGATTTGACATCGAAAGGTTTCTCATGTTGACACTTGCAATGGAGTTTATCTCAAAGAAACTTCAAATGAAGGTTGATGGCAAGCCAATTAATCTGAAGATTATTAAGGAAGAATTAGCCAATAGGATCTTTAGAAAGAAATCAAATTTCAACCCATGCTTTGCATCCAATTCTGAGATGGAAGATGATGAATCATGGTCGTTGGGGTGTTTTTATAAAGTGGCTATGGAAGATGAATCGTTTGAAGCCAGGCAAAATAATGTCCTTCTAGGTCACAGTGCTCACAGAGAAGATGGTGACGTAACAATAAGGGATAAGGCTGGGGATGAAATGTTTGTGAACCTACCTATTTGCATGGGAGACTTGTGTCAAATTTTAGAATAAATATTGGGAATATAAACAACAAGACCCATCAATCGTTTCAAAGAACGGGTAACGAGTCAAAAACATGGGAGATTGTGGTTGATAATATAATTGAGCTGCCATTTTCAAATTGTGGAATAGGTGAGAAAAAAATTAATCATGGAGATTAATAGTGCGAGAAAAAGTAGTGA